CTGCTGCGGCGGCTGCTGCTGCTGCTTCCGCTGCTGCTGCTGCTGCTGCTGCTGCCGCTGCTGCTCCAGCCGGTCCAACTACCGCAACTCCTGCCGCTCCCTCTCCAACAGCACCTGCTCCTCACGCTCACGCCGACGGGCGGCCTAGAGACGTGTGTCGTGGCGGTGGGGAGGCGGAGTGGATTCCGCAGAACCAGTGTCTCCAGCTCCAGTCTCCTCAGAACCAGCACCTCCAGTGCCAGCGCCTCCAGCACCAGCACCCCCAGAACCAGCACCTCCAGGACCAGCACCCCCAGAACCAGCACCTCCTGTGCCAGCACCTCCAGCTCCAGCACCCCCAGAACTAGCACATCCAGTGCCAGGACCTCCAACTCCAGCACCCCCAGGACTAGCACCTCCAGTGCTAGGACCTCCAGCTCCAGCACCCCCAGGGCTAGCGCCACCTGCGCCAGCACCTCCAACTCCAGCACCCCTCGAACGAGCACCCCCAGACCGAGTACCGCCAGTGGCTGCACCTCCAGCTCCAACACCAACCGAGTCCACAGTAACCTGTCGCGGAAGTACCGAAGGCTGCTGAGGGGACTGTGAGGAGGACTGCGGGGAGGGAGACGCTACCTGACGCGCGACCGAGGGTAGAGGGGTAGCTTGAAACACACCTGACGGGGCAGGACCAGGAGGGGGTGGGGGTACCGGAGGAGCGGGAACAGGGGGAAGAGAGGGTGCGAGGAAAAGGGGGGGAGGGGGAACCGGGAGACCTTGACAGGGGTACCGGGTGTAGTAGGACACTGACTCGTCGAACCGGACGTCACGGGAGTCAAGGAACTGGTGGAGGGGCGGGTGGTAAGTCGGCCGAGGCTACCGGGAAACCAAAGAAGACACAGGGGACGGCGCGAGCCGAGAGCTTGTCCGCAGAGGTGTCACGGACAAGCGCAAGGCAGCCCCAGACACGAAAAGCTGACCCAACACCAGGGGACCCGGTCCAACGACTGGTCGGTGAAGCCTCTGGCCCGAGACGCGCGGCTGGAGGTACAGCTGGTGAGCGGCGTAGCGAACCGCGTAGGGCCACAGAAAATGGGGCGCACGGGCATGAATCATGGACGTGCGAGCGATGTCCATGACCAAGCCAATGCGGCGCTCAGCAACCCCATTCTGCTGTGGGGACTCCGACAGCATCCAGGACTGTACGATGCCCTGCTCGCCGCAGAATCCGGCAAGAATGCCTGAGCGAAACTCATCCCCACGGTCAGAGTGGAGACAGGAGACACGACGGCCACGAGTGCCCTCAGTGGCTAGAAGCCACCGGATCAGCGTAGAAGTCACCTCGGACTTCTTCGCGAGAGGAAACACCGTGGTGTACCTGGAGAAGTCGTCAACGACCACCAGAAAGTAGCGCTCCCTCTCAGGTCCCTGCGTAGGTGCAGGGCCCCAGACATCCAAGTGGAGTGTCTGGAAGGGAGCAGTGGCCGAACGAAGGGAGGAGGAGTGCGGAGTGGCACGAAGACGGCCGGCGACGCAAGGAGTGCACGACGGCGCAAGCGAGGGAGGGAGCGACGGGAAGATGCGAGGGAGACCTGAAACAAGACGGTGAATAGCTATAGTGCGGAGGCGGGGGATTGACGGGTGGCCAAGACGGTGGTGGCACAAGACGGTGGTGGCACAAGACGGTCCGGTGGGTGAAAGACCGACACGAGCAAGACGCAGCAACTAGACCGGACACAGCAACCTGACCGGACAAAGCAACCGGTGGGGACACAGTAGCCTGACCGGACTCTGCTACCGGGGGGGACGAAGCAACCTGACCAGACGCAGCTACCTGCGGGGGCGGAGTGTGCAGGACGAAGAGACCTGAGTGGGGCTCTCTGGTGAACGTGGCAAGAACTGCCCCGGTGGAAGAGTCTGTACAGATCGCAGTCCTCCCATGCGCAGGAAAAGTGACTGTGATCCCCCGGTCCTGAAGGCATCCAACACCCACCAAGTTCCGAGAGAACGAGGGGATGTAGAGACCAGTGAGGAAACCAGAGGGGACAGCTGGGCACGGGAGAGTGGTCGAGCTGCGAGCAACTGCTGGTCCTGAAGTAGGATCAGCCAGGGCAACTGGGACTGGAGCCGAAAGAGGTGTGACAGGGGTGTGGTCGCGGAAGAAGCACTGAGACGCGCCGGAGTCCAGCGTGAAGGAGAGCGACGCAACAGCAGTCGTCACGGCTGGGCTAGTGATTACACAAGCACCTACACTAAAAGCACAAGTACCGACACTAGCAACAGGCAAAGGTCCTAAGCTAGGTACACGTAAGCCAAGAGATCCGTACGTGATAGAATAAACATCATCCATAGACATATCAAACACAGGGTAACCACTACGAAACAGCCGACTCAGGCCCAAAACGCTCACGGTAAAGGTCGTCGAGGCGGCCGTAGCAGCGCTGTGCAGAGTGGTCAGGACGCCAGCAGGTAGTGCCAGCACCAGGGCCGGTCAGGATCCGGTACCGGCAGGGGCCGACGTCGCGGCCACCGCGACGAGCCCCCCAGCTGGCCGGGCCGCTGCTGCAGCCAACGCTACCTGAACCACCAGGCCCCCACGGCTGCTGAGGGCGCCACAGCTGCTGAGGGCGCCCCTGCTGCTGCGGAAGCCACTGCTGAAACGGCCGCTGCTGCTGTCCCTGCTGCTGGAGAACCCTAGTGGACTCCATGATAAAAGCTAGCGGGGTGCAGGAGCGGCAGGCTAGGAGCGACAAGAGCTAGGGACGGCTGCAGTGAAAAACGAGAACAACTAGGAGCGCCAGGTGAAACTAGGCGAGTAACTGCTGGAGCACGGAGCGAAATATGCTAGGAGCGCCAGGTGAAACTAGGCGAGGAACGGCTGAAGCACGGAGCAAACTGAGCTAGAAACGCCAGGTGAAACTAGGCGATGTTAAAGTTATATTTAATATTATCCTGCTTGCCGTAGTTGCTGTAATGTTTGTTCATATTGTTGGTGGTGTTCCACCTCTTGTGCCTCATTCTCGAGTATATATTGTATCGCTTTCTATTGTCAGAATGTTATAATTGTCTAGCCTGCAGTGGGGTACTCCATAGTGAGTACAGCCCAATTAGGGTTTGCTATATGTATCCAACTGCTTGCTAGTGAAACCCCCCTCCTTTCTTCATTCTTGTTTCTCACTGCTAGTTCTGACATGGTTTCAGAGCAGGTCGACCCCCTTGGGTCGATCCTGTGAGTTGGCCCACCACCTAATGCTTCCGCTGCTTTACTTCCTGTCGTGCGCCTCGGGCGCGCGACGACTTCTTCCTGCCGTGCGCTCGGGGCGCGCGGCGGTTTTCTGCCCGCCGAGTGCCCCATGGCGCGCGGCGGTTTTCTGCATGGCGCGCCCCCCGTCGGCCCTCGCGTCGCCTCAGGGGATCCGCGCGCGCCCCCCGTTGGCTCTCGCGCTGCCCCGCTGGACCCGCGCGTGGCACCCCGTCGACCCTCGCGTCGCCTTCGGGGACCCGCGCGCTCCCCCCGTCGGCTCTCGCGCTGCCCCGCTGGCCCCGCGCGCGGCCCCTCGCTACCCCATGGTGGCGCCCTGGGGGCCGCGCGCCTTCCCCCTCGCCGTCCCCCGCGCTCCTTCCCCGTACCACCTGTTTTAGGGTTTGGGGGTGGGGAGTGTGGGGGTGGCGGTTGTGGGGGCACCGGTTGTGTCCTACTCCTCCTCCTCCTCCGTCTCCCGCTGCTGCAGCTGCCGCTCAGGGGGGTGGATGTGTGGTGTCCGGAGGAGAGGCGTTAGGGGGGTGCCGTGGGAGTGGAGCTAGGGGTGCAGCAGGGGGTGTGTGGAAAGGGGGTGGGACTGTTTGGGGAGGTTGCGCGGAGGTAGCCGTCATGTCGCCAGCAGCGCCAGTCGTCCGAAGCCCTTGCTCTCGGTAGCCCAGCGAGCCTGCTGCGCCAGTCGCCTGTGGGTCCGTAGCTCCTGCCGCTCATCGTAGCAGCGGAGTCTGTTACTCCAGTATTCCGGGGCCCTTGCTCCGGTAGCCACTGTGCCAGGGAGTCTGTTACTCTAGCCATCCGGGGCCCTTGCTCCGGTAGCCACTGTGCCAGCCGCTCCTGTCGCCGTGTGTCTGCAGCTTCAGCCGTCGCCTCCAATCTCTTCTCCTCTCACAGTCACTCCTCCTCCTCACTTGCCCTTTGTGAATGCCTCTAGTTTTGCTTGCACTTGTGAACCTGCTCTATGCCTGCTTATTGTGCTGATTACACCCCACTTTGGCTATGGGGGTGTGTCAGAATGTTATAATTGTCTAGCCTGCAGTGGGGTACTCCATAGTGAGTACAGCCCAATTAGGGTTTGCTATATGTATCCAACTGCTTGCTAGTGAAATCCCCCTCCTTTCTTCATTCTTGTTTCTCACAGCTAGTTCTGACATCTATAAGTGAAACAACCATTGTCAATTCTCCTTGGCACAACCATCGCGACACCCGCTTGGCCTAGGCTCTAAGCCTAGGCCCTTAGTAAACCCTGGTTACTAGTTATGTCACTGTTGTAACATGGTAACAGAGCGGTTCTTATCCTAGGACCTATCTCGATAATGGGCCCACCATTCCCGCCCGATGCTGCCTGTAGACCCGCCCGTCACATGGCGAGCGCCGCGCTGGCCCGTCGCGCCACGCTCGCCTCGTCGTACCCTCGCTGGCGAAAACGCGACCTTCGGGCCTGCTACGCGACGGTCGCGAAGGTCCTCGCGCCCTTGCGTCGTCACTGCCAGCAGCGCCGCGACAGCAGCGCCGACCAGCGAGCCAGCCGCGCACCAGCAATCGTCGTCCGCGTATTGCCCGCCACCCGCCCGTCGCCCGTTCGCACCCTGCCTCCCGCTCGCCGCCCGTCGCCCGTACGCAACTCGCCACCTGCTCATCCCCTCGTCGCGACTGCTCGCGTGTGCAGCGACGGTCGGAGTCGGGGGGGAGAGGGCAAAGGGAAGCGCGTGGTGACGAACGCCAGCGAACCTGCCGCCCGTCGCCCGGGTGTAGCCCGCTCCCGTCACGCTGCCCCGCCGCCTGCCACGTCGCGGCTCTCTGGCGTGGAAACGGCGACGGCCGCGGTGGAAAGGGGAGGAGAGGGGGAAGGGGGTGGCGGCCACCACGACTGCCGCCATTCGCGCACGCGCCAGGGGTTGTAACACTCGGAACACGAGAGCTCGTCCTCGTCTGTTTGCAGGCCGTTTCCGAAGTGGATGCGGGGGGGGGGGGGGGGGAGAGGAGCGAGAGGAGGGGGGAAGGAGAAGACGAGGTGACGAGATAATAATGGAATTGTAACGGTCGGAACAAGAGAGCGTACCTGGAACCCTAACAGCGTACCTGAAACCCTAACAGCGTACCTGAAACCCTAACAGCGTACCTGAAACCCTAACAGCGTACCTGAAACCCTAACAGCGTATTTGAAAGCTTCAAAGCGTACCTGAGACGCTGGTGATGGCGTTGGCCATGGCTAGTGCAGGGCCGCACCCTTTGGCCCCTCCGGAGGGATCTTCTCCCAGCAGCAGCTTGGACCACCGCTCGCGCATCAGCTGCATGTCTGCATGGGGAGAGGAGGAGGGGTTAGGAATGGTTGCTTGAAATCACGGAGTTCCATGTTAAAGGGAATTGAGCTTAAAACTCGTCTCCCAGCAGCAGCTTGGACCACCGCTCGCGCATCAGCTGCATGTCTGCTTGAGAAAAAGGAGTGACAATGATTTCTTTACGGTGAGGAAGTCTTATACAAAGGGAGTGTGTGCTTCGTATTTGCTCAAAACATACATGGAGGGAAATATGGAAACTAGGCAGCCACGACAAGTAAAGGAAGGACGGCGCTGGCATGCACGGAAGCAGTTTGATTGAGTACGTATGGCCAAGATGTAACGCACCTGCTTTGTCTTTGGGAATGTAGTCCTCCACCGCTAAATCCGGATCGTCGAACGACCCCGCCATGGTTCTGACCTAGCAGACTAGCGTGTTGGTGGTTAGCTGATCTAAGGTTATGGATCAACGGACGGACATATCCCAGGACACTCCAGAACTCTACTCCAGTGATTGCGGAACGACGTCGCCACGGTTCCAATTTACCAGTTCGTAACAGGTTCCAATTTAACAATGTGTTCCTGGCTGGTTGAGCTTTTGTGATGGATAGAAACGCCGTTTTATTCTTACACACTCAGGCCAGACTCCTTCAGTGACTGTTCTGTCCGTTGTGACCGTTTTGATCGTCGAACATTTCCGCCAAGGATTCTATTACCGTCCGGCTATGAGCTGAGAGTTGGAGTTAGATCGACGGCCGAACGGCCAGACGTCTGGAAGGGCTTCACGCAGTCCTCGATAACTTATTTCAGGAAACCCCCCCATCAATTTCCATGAATGGTTGTTGAACTCAATACAGGAAACGTAGCGCCTGAATATTGTTACCCGAAAGAGGTAAAGGGGAGCCAGGGTCGTCAGTGCAAACGGACAGGCCAGGGCATTGTCATTGTCAGGGAGTTTTCGGTATTGAGTATGCTTAACGAGTTCCGAGTATCCTCTTTCTCACAAACGAATATCGGACATGGTCTGAGCTAACGAGCCATCATTGTTCAAAATAATGGAGCTTCGACATTGCTAACCAATGGCTAACACCCGTTCGGGCAATGTTAGAGTTAGCTATTGAGCAACAAACAACTGCTATAGATCACATCAACTGCTAAAGTGCCGTGGACCTTGACCATGATTGCATTGTTCAGAGCTGCGTGTTGTGGAGATGTAGGTGGAGTAGATGGCCCCTGGGAACAACGTCACAACGGTGCCCCCTTGGGAATAGCGGGGCTGGAAAATGGACTCCACCATGAGGACGAGTTGGAATATTACCCCGGAAATATGTTCAAATCCAGTACATCGCCCTTCTATTTATTTGGGTTCTTGAGAAGGCTACACTCTCCGACAGTTCCGGAGAACTACTTAAACAAAACTGGATCAGGGTACATTCTTGGCTCGTGTCTGACATGAGGTCAGACACGAAGTGAAGATGAGGAAGACCCGAAGTGACCTGGCAAATCAATGTTCGGAAGACCCGAAGTGGGCCACTTCGGGTCTTCCGAACCTCCATCCAAACCTCCACTTCGTGTCTGACACGAGGTAGGAATGTATCCTCAAACTCTACGCGGTTGCGACTCAAAATTCCCCTTTCCCTCGTAGTGTGTGAATCGGAAAGTTTTCACACGATAGCCCACCATCTTCTCCAAATCGCAGGTGTCAGGGAAGGTCCTTGCCACTGGTTGGACGCGGCTGTAATCAACCATTGGGATTTCCCCAAATAAAGGACACTGGCATAAATACACCTCCTAATCACATCCTGTTAGGACCTTTGGCCTAAGTTCGTTAAGTAATATTTCATTATTCATTTACAACTTCCCTCCCAAGGGAGAGGTGTCCACAATGCATGCGGAGTGAAGATAGCTTGGAAGCAAGCATTGTTGAGGACGAAAGAACCTACCAGTACCTATTGTTGGCTGCTTCATATAGCCATGCTAGCGGACCAGTAAATAGAAAAACGTGACACCTTATTGTACTGAGGACGTGCTGGATGTGGTAATCAGGCTCGTCAGCATCAATGGCTACCGATAGAAGTGTGCGATCACGGCACAAGAACGTGGTGTTGGGATCGGACCGGTGCGTGGACTAAGGGTACATTCCGCCCTGGACATGTCCTTTAAGAATGTGTCCGAATCGATTCAGACGCGTACTTACAGCATATGTTGCCACGTGTCCGAATGCCGAACCGCACATGAAAATCGCATAACGTGTGATTGATTGGCCAGCGTGTAACACGGACCTGTCGCTGACTAATTGCACGCCAGCACAACATCGTCCAGCCTGTGCACGCGGTGCCAAATGACAATCCCCTTTGCATGTACCTGGCCAACATTCCATTCGGGCTGCTCTGCAGCCCAACGCGTACACAGGAACAAGATTGGTCGAACACGCCTCCTCCGTGATTATTGACAATCACGCGCATCTCCCGCCCGTAGACCTGGTGCCCTTGCGCAATACACATTCCCCTCCCTTCCCTCGTCCCAATCCACCATCACGAGCCCGAGACAGTCCCTCATATCTCGTGAGCCAAACATCCTTCCTCATAGTTTGTCGCTGTGTTTCACATCTAGATTTAGATCCCACAGCACGCCACCATGCCTAGGAAACGTAAGGGCCAGGCCCTAAACGACTGCCCTAAGGACCTCAACGATATCCCTTACATCCGCTGGATGAACCAACAGATCGCCAACGGCCGTCATCCGACCGGCTTGTCTGCACCGGTTGCGCAAGACGCGCAGGGCTCCAGTGCACAACAGCCCCGCCAGGTGCCGTCACGCGTTCGCCATCAGCCTTCAAGGACCGCCGCAACAGTACGGCCCATCGCGGAGCCGGTCGAATACGAAGACGACGAAGAATACCGCGTTGACGAAAACGCAGGAGAAGACGACGACGACGAGCCGGAGGACCTTGGGATATCGGACGACGAAGACGGCGACGATAAAGACGACGTTGACGCGGAGGAGGAAACGCAACCGGTGACTCAGCCGACGAAACGGAACGCCGCCCGCGTTTCGGGCGCGGACAAGCGTAAGGGCAAAGCGGTTGCCCCAGAGCCGCGACAAAAGCCTCGAAAGAAGCGGTCGTCAGCACCACGCGAGAAGAGCATGTGGTCGGACCACGAGAGCACCATCTTCGCCGCCGCATGGTGGTTCACCAAGGACGAATTTCATCCGCTCAAGGGGAAGCAAGGCACCCAATATTGGGTCCGCCTACTCGCGCACATCAAAGAGTCGAACCCGGATTGGATTCGCGGGATCAACGCACTGCAAAAGCAGTGGCGCAACTTGATACTGCTCTGGAGGGATTACAGGCGGGGTGATGATGGGTCGGGAAACGGCTCTGTTGTAAAGCCTCCGTGGTACCCGTACATGGAGCTGTACAACCAAGACACCGCCGCCGCCGAACCGCATGCGGTGGACGGCGGTGGTGCCACGAATGTCGACGTGCCGGCCGGCATGCAGGTTCTGAGCTCCTCTCAGGCCGGCGTTTCTACGCCGACATTTACAGGTCACGTCCACTTGATTAGGGTATGTGCGCTTTATTAATTGTCGTGTTGTTTGCCATATGAAGTTTGTTGGTACCGTGCAACATAACTTTTCATGTTTCGAGAGTGTAACACAGTAATGCACATGGTCCCTCTCTCCCATATCCATTCACAGCCCCGCCGGCACCAACAAACTCTACACCTAAGTGTGCTCGAGTCCATGAAACGGCAACGATGCAAGCCGCAATGCTTGTCTCCGCGAAAATCAAGGACTGTCACGGCGACGCTATGAACCGGATCGAGGGACCCGTGTGCGAATGGATGCAGCAGGATTTGCGCGTAGCCCGTGAGCGCATGTCGGAGTCCGCTCCACCGCACGTGCAGCGTGGGACGGCCAACGACAACCCTCCGCCACCACGCGCGGCGTCTGTACCTCCTCCCGATCGCCGCGCGCCGGACACGGACGTTGAAGATGCTGGCCCTGCACGCGACGTGGGTGTCGACGCCCACAACGTCACTCCGGATGATGACGATGCGGAGATATGGGTGCGCGGCGCCGACGATTGAGGTAAGAATCGTGTAGTGCCTCTCCCAGTCTTTTCCGTCTTTCTCGCAAAGCTGGCTGCGTAACGGGCACGCACGGTTCCCACCTATGTTCTGCGATGGCACCCCGGGTCCACCATGGATCTCGGTTTCGCGGCAAATTGAACCAAGCCAAGTTGATTCGCCTGACATCTGCCATACTCTCGCACATGTTATGCAGGATCACGCAACACGCGACACCGGCGAGAACACGCCATAGCCTGCAGTCGTTGCGCCCGGCGAAAAGGCGCCATCGTCCTTTGAAGGCACCGATGCATCTCTCTACAGCCATGCGGGTGGCGCTCTGGCAGTAGTTGAAACACTGGGCCCAATCGTCCATTAGATCCTCTCCGCGCGGGGTATGCAGCGTCCCCAAGAATCTGGTACGGGTTATGTCCCCTCTTTGTAACCTTTCCAATAGTGCACTATCTTTGAATACACGCATGTCGTGCGCGCTACCGGGATAGCCCACGATGTAGTCCCATATTCTTCCGCGTGCATCACACGTGACTTGCAGCTGGACGGCATAAGCAGACTTTCTCGTCCAATATTCAGTCCGGTGCCCCTCCATCCCCTTCATGTGGATGTGTGTCCCGTCCACAGCCCCAACTACTGCAGGTACCCCTTTGATGGCTGCAAACTCCCGCGCCAGTTCCGGGAGTTCATCACGGGTCGGGAAGCGCACCCAGGCTGCTTTGAACACGGCCGGGAACACGGTGAGGAAGATGTCAACAAGCTCGTGGCAGAGTGTTTTGGAGACACCAAACAGGTAGGACATGTCGACGTAGGAGATTCCAATTGCCAGATACTTGATTGGCACGAGCAGGGCGGTGTCCATTGTAATCCGTGTGCGCTGGACAACCGGCTCCAGGCATTGACGCATGCCGGTCTTTATGTGGTCTAGGATGGCGCGGTTGACCCTGAAAATGTCATGAAAATCGCTCTCCCGCATATGTTGCAGGTCTTCAACCCACAATGCAGCGCGTTGCCGCCGTAGTCCCGCTCAGAGACGGCGGTTGTCCCTGGTGCCTGACCCCTGCGTTGTGGACTCCGCGTCGGAATCTTCAAATACTACAGCCTCAATCATTCCGACAAAGGACTTGGCCACGGTTTCGTGGAAATAGTGTAGTAGTAGGTGACCCAGGCGACGAGAAGGCGTAGGATAAAGGGGATCGCCCGTGGTTCAGTCAGTTGCTACCTATGTGTGTGCGTTAGCTTTCCGTCGGGCTATGTACTGGGTTTTATAGTCTCCATATCCATTGGCAAGAATATACGCAGCGTGGGGTTTTTGTTAGTGGCAATTATTGGGGAAGGGCGCAATTCCCACCTCCCCGCCATCGCCAGCGCAATCTCTGGTGTTTGGGCGCCTGGCTGTGTTTGCGCGAGTGACGCGCAAGTGCTTTGGTGACCAGACGTGATGGGCCAATCACATCCCTTCATGTATAATTGTCACAAGGTACTGCAGGATCGCAGTACATCCAGTCTTTGTGACATGAGGTGTGGGGACATTTGAGCGCGACTCGAGCAAAAAGTGTTTGCGAATGTACCCTAAGGAGGGACAGCCTTGCCGAAAAGCAATCAAAGGGCCACTTTCAAGAATGATGTCTAATGTCCAAGACAAATCAAGCTTCCTCGATCTATTGGTTTGTTACGCATCAGGCACCTTCTGACTGCATTAGCTACCAGCAGACTCAGCTTCCCAGGTTACACACCAAAGAGCTTGCCAGTCACTATCCCAGCGAAGACAAGCGCACCAAAAGTCCAGTTGGAAGCAAACCTGGAATGGATGGGATCATGGAGGGGTAGAGACAAGGGTAGAGTAGATGATGGAGAGAGAAGGGGCATACGAGAGGAGCGGCAGGGAGCTCTTGATCAAAGCACGCCAGGCAAATTTCCAACAACAATCACTAGCATGCACCGTTGGTTGCACACTAAACCGTGTATGTGCACGCTCACTTGGTGAGGGTGACTAGAAAGTGTAGAAGACTCACTTGGAGTAGCAGTCCTCCCGGCCGTCGTAATTCGTGGAGGCGATCTGCCATGCCATGTGTGCGGCTGCCACTGAGGATTCACATTCTTTTGTTGTTGGGGGGATTGACTAACGACAGAGTCGACTCACTTGGAGTAGCAGTCCTCACGGCTGTCGTAATTTGTGGAGGCAATCTGCCATGCCATGTGTGCCGCAGCCGCTGCTAGCGAGGCATAGAACGGGGAGCCTGCAACACGACAACAGGGGACGAGACAATGTGGATAAGTATATTTTTGAGTCGACTCAAAAATAGACCCATGTGTGCCGCAGCCGCTGCTAGCGAGGCATAGAACGGGGAGCCTGGAAGACACACGAGGACACGAGACGATGTGGAATGAGAGGGAAGGAGATGAAAGAAGCGATACCAGCCACAGCAAAGCAGAGCAAAGGGAAGGCAGCAGCAGAGAAAGGCAGGTTGCAGGGGAAGACATTATCAAGGGCAGTCGGTAACAGAAAGGCTTGGATGCTGGGCGAAAGTGAGAAGCCAGAAAGAATGGGCGGTGCGATAAAGCACCAACGAACTGCAGCAAAGGAAGAACGAACAGCCGCCAAGGAAACTCGTTCCGAGACGTATCAAATCGCAATGGGAAGGGGTTGCAGGGATAAGAGTATTCCAAGGAATGGAGCATCGCAGGCAGGGCAGTCATGACTAGCAGGGCTAGTGATTGAGTGAGTACCGAGGTTGACAGCAGAACCGGCAGCAGCTAGGCTGGTGACGGCTGCTGCGCCGAAGAAGGAGAGGTAGAAGGGCGTGCGATGGGCGAAGAGCAGCGCTGTGGACTTGACGCCTGCTGTGATGTCATCCGCCTTGTCCTGGCGAGAGCATGCATGGAGTGGATGGGAGACAACACAAGGGCAAAGGGCATGACATGATAAGACTGATTTAAAAGTAGCATGTGTTAGGCACGGTGAGAGAGTAATGAGGCAGCAAGAGTATAGAGAGCAAAGCGGAATGAGCAATCAGCAAAAAGAGGCCTGGCACATGGCTCTGAAGACATTGTGAAATGCTGTTGCGGAAAAAGAAGAAGTATTTTCAGTCGTTCTCGAAACACACACTCGGCCCGACCACCAAGATGGCTCTGATCCCTCTTACCTGGTGCGCATAGATGGTGTCGTACACTAGCGTCCAACAAATGCCGCCCATGTACAGTGGAAGCACAGCTGGCAGGTGAAGCGAGCCGTGCACTGCCGCCCAGCCCAGGAGAGCACCCCAGTTAAAGACAAGACCGAGATAGGCCTGAGGCTGAGCATGGGACGAACAGAGAGGAGGGGAGGAAATCGGAGAGGAGGGCATGACAGGGCACGAGAGTAGATGGAAGGGGATCAGACGGCTTGAGAGGGCACGGGAGGGCATGAGAGGGAATGGAAGTAGCAAAAGTTGAAGGCGGAGGGAATGACAGCCTCCCTAAGGTTTTGACAAATAAGCTTTCACCATCTCGAGCCTGCTTTGCAAGGCCTTCGATGCAATCCCAAGGAGGCTCACCCAGTGAGTGAAGCGCTTCATGAGGGGGTAGGAGAAGACGAGGGGCAGAGAGGCGGCACCCAGCACTTGGCTGCATGTGGATGGATGGAAGGCACGGGGCACATGGGAGGGCGATGGAGGCCGCATGAGAGAGTGTGATTTCCATGCGCCCCAGAAACTTGGCTGCATGTGGATGGATGGAAGGCACGGGGCACATGGGAGGGCGATGGAGGGAGTGGAATGGGCGAGAGGCACGGAATGCCGTGGTTCTCTCTGCTGTGGCCTTTGAGTCAACTCAACAAGGGGAAGAGAGGCGGCACCCACCACTCACCTGTAAGTGTTCAGCTGCACGAGAATCCCCAGTCCCAGCAGCAACTGCAGTCTGAGGAAACTAGTTGCTCCCAAGGGGGTGACAGCACCGGAGGGCACAGGGCGGGAGCGTGTGCGAGCCACCTTGGCTTCCTGCCACTACACCTTTCACTCACCTGTAAGTGTTCAGCTGCACGAGAATCCCCAGCCCCAGCAGCAACTGCAGCCCAAGGAAGGAGGCAGCGCCCAAGGGGGTGATGGCACCGGAGGGCAGAGGGCGGGACCTAGTACGGGCCACCTTGGCGTCAAAGTCCCGATCCAGCAGGTCGTTGATGGTGCAGCCGGCGCCAGCTCTGACGCCAAACACCAGAATGACTCAACCGTTCAACGAAGGCCGGGGAAACAACACAGCGATCTGCTCACTCACCTGTACGTATTCAGCTGCACCAGTATCCCCAGCCCCAGGAGAAGTTGCAGCCCAAGGAAAGCTGTTGCTCCCAAGGGGGTAACGGCACCGGAGGGCAGAGGGCGGGAGCGCGTGCGAGCCACCTTGGCGTCAAACTCCCGGTCCAGCAGGTCGTTGATGGTGCAGCCAGCTCCTCGGAGTAAGATGGCGCCTGACCCGAAGAGAAAGAGAAGGGTTGGGTCGGGTAGAGAGCCTGCCGGAGCGGCCAGTGCGATGGACCTGTGGGGGTGAGGGAGGAGATGAGGGAGCCACCTTGGCGTCAAACTCCCGGTCCAGCAGGTCGTTGATGGTGCAGCCGGCTCCTCGGAGCAAGACGGAGCCTGACCCGAAGAGAAAGAGAAGCGCTGGGTCGGGTAAAGAGCCCGCTGGAGCAGCCAGTGCGATGGACCTGTGGGGGAGGAGGAGGGGGGAGGGGAGAGGTGAATGGATAGACCTTGCGAGGAGAGAGGGGAGCAGGACGGCAGGTCATTTATGGTGCAGCCAGCCCCTGTGACTGTAGTAAATTGGCGCCTGAACCGACGAGAAAGAGAAGTGCCGGGTCGGGTAGAGAGCCTGCTGGAGCGGCCAGCGCAGTTGAGCTGCAGAGGACGGGGAGGAGGGGGAGGGGAGGGAGGATAGAAGCAAGCTAACCAGAAGCAGGGCCAGGCGAGCAACCAGGTGCCAGTGGGCTTGTGCAAGATATTTTAGAATCCTCACACTGTTAAGATTCGTAGTCTAGTATTTGTGAGATGTGTTTGGGACTTCTAATAAATCTCTCACAAGTAGAATGCAGTGTGCACGCACCAGAAGCAGGGCCAGGCGAGCAGCCAGGTGCCGGTGGGCTTGTCCAGGCGTGCGAGGTGGGCGAAGGGCTGCACTGCGGCCGGCAGATACCGCTCCACCCACGATGTGCTCCCACCGCCGCCGCTGCTGGTGCTGCTGCTGCTGGTGCTGCTGGTGCTGCTGCTGCTGCTGCTGCTGCTGGTGCTGCTGCTGCTGCTGCTGCTGCTGCTGGTGGTGCTGCTGGTGCTGTTGCTGCTGCTTGTGTTGATGCTCCTACTGTCACTACTGCTTCTGCTTCTGGCATTGCTGTTGTTGCACTCGTTCCCTGCTGTGTGGCCATCATTGTTGCTGCTTTCAGTGGTGCCGCTGGCGAGTCTCGTAAGGCCAGGGGGCAGCGCTTGCACCATGCAAACTTCTGTTCTACCCGGATAGTATTGCGCAACAGAGACAAGCGAGCTTGATCTAGGTACAGGTGATGTTCTGGGACTAGGTTTATGTGCATTGACTACATCGCGGTGTTCTACTGCTCCTCTCTCGTCGTCCTCTTGTCTCCAGTGTATATGTTTGTACACGTACTGTGTGGGAGGAGACTGTAGCGAAGGGTGGAAATGGAAGACCCTGACGGGTGGATGAACGCGGGACGAATTGTGGGTCAGATTTCTTGGATCTGGAAGAATCTGAACCGTAGAGATATATCCGGATCGTAGATCAGGGATGCTTCCAACAGAAGGATCAGAATCGGACGACGATCCGGATGCAAAGGGTGGAGTGCTGTCGGACGCATCAGAGAGGAACGAACTTGGACGGAAATCGTGACGGATATGGATACCGGACTGAACGGGCTCGCGATGCGAGCTGCTGATGCCAGCATCGCCCAGGGTGGGACCGACAATGTGCGATCTTAGCGACGCAATCAGGCCGACGCATTGTGACTGTAACGGGTCCTTTAATCGCCGGATCGACCTCCGCATCACTCCAGGTAGCGCCATACCGTAAGGATTACGTTGACGAGACACTTATGAAACACGACCATAGGAGTCCAGCGATAGGTGTGAACAAAGCCGTGCTGCAAAATGAAACAAACAACAATTGTTTTTGCAAATGAGTGACAAAGCCAGCCTTTAGTAGCGTGGCAAGCTTGTAACGAGATATGCAATCTCGAAGGAACACGAAAATGAGTGGGAGAGGGGCACCACGAAAATCATGGACTGACAGACGGGAGTCGCCTCGGTAAAATCGAGGCAGGTGATACAGATCGCCTAGGGAACTGGTTGCTGCACCGTGGTTCCAGAATCCAGATGGTCACTCTCAACACAACCAAAACTAGTGGCATCCTAGCAGGTGGTCAGTGGAACCTGATACTGATCCAATTTCAGTACGGTGCTGGCGCTACTGATACTGATACTGAAATTGGTCAGTGGAACCTGATACTGATCTTAGTCTGACCAATACACCGATTGCTACGGTTCTTGAGCATTGCCTAACTTACGCGATTGCGACGAAGCAAGACTAGCTTTACGGTAACCGAGCTCCACCGTTGTCAGAAAAGCCGCTTCGTCACCTTTTCCCGAAGGAGGGATGGCATGGAGGACCTAATGCCCATGCGAACCAAGTCAGTACCGACAGTTTTTTACTTTGGCGATGACCGCCGTTAACGACAGTCTATCGGGTGCAGTGACGTTTACTGACAGTTTCCTCTTTCCGACAGGAACAAGTCAGTTATGTACACACTGGAAATATTTCCACAGGTGGTTTATGCGTCCCCGTTTCATTCTCGTCGCAGTGATCGCCTTGAGATTTTGCTGCGGACCAGTTGCGTCATCACCATGTCGAGTAAACCCTCATATTGTGCTTCCGGCTGACGCTCCTTCATTCGTACACTGCCTGAACGGCACGAGCGAACCGGCAGCCGCTGATGCCGAGCAACACGTATCCACATTCCACCGGTTGGGTGCTTCAATCCATCAGAAAAATGTGCAAAGAATTTCCGGCAGTATTTGGGCGAATCTGCAGGACTTGTCAGGTGAAATCGGCGGGTTTCCATGCGCCCCGTAATTGGAGTGGCATATTGCCCGAAACCGTCTGTTTCCGCGCAGGTTGCGATCTGCCGGTTACGGGCCTGCTTTGTGCTACAGTACCCTCTAACATAGGGATGTAAGCGGTCGAAGTTGGTGACTTGCGCCTGTTTGGGGCGGTTGAAAATCGAGCAGTTTACGGTGGCGCAGTTCTTGGCCATTTTGGTACCACCCAGGTTTAGGTGGGGAACGAGAGGAGCTGGGCGAGTTCGCCAGTTTTTGGGGTGATGTCGCGTAGTTAGCGACTGCCTGCTTGTTGGCTCCAAGATTTTTGGACACACAGGGTTACTGTTACAGCTAAATACACTTCGTTACCACAATGTACACCTCAATTCACATTTGTCCGGGAAATTCCGCATATCGTAAACTAGTGAATCCAATTCGATTTCATTTTTATTTTCGATTTCTGTAATGATGTCAGTGAAATAGCAATTGTTTCCGAAATATTTAGAATATATACAGCAAATCCTGACATTAAGCAAGAAACAAAAACCAGGGATCTTCATATCCTTGGTCTTTACACAATGAAAAGCACATGTTCCTGAAATACATTTCTGTCAGAACATATATATAGCTTATGCTGTTGTGTAGGCTATAGTGGGGTATCCCATAGTGGGTACAACCCAATTAGGGTTTCCTATATGTACTCACTTCATTCATAGTTCATTCATTCGCTTTCTCCTTTTCTCATGGAATCAGAGCAGGTCCCCTCCTAGGGACTGTTTCTAGGGCCCACCGAAGCGCGCCCCGAGGCGCGCTTTCTTTTTTTTAGCGACCCTCCGTGTCGCCCCTAGCGGCCCGTTGCGCCGCCCTCACCTACGCGGCCCCACCGCCCTCACGTCGCGGCCCCGCCGCCCTCACGTCGCGGCCTCGCCGCCCTTGCCTACGCGGCCCCGCCGCCCTCACCTTCGCGGCCCCGCCGCCCTCACGTTGCGGCCCCGCCGCCCTCACTTCGCGGCCCCGCCGCCCTCACCTACGCGGCCTCGCCGCCCTTGCCTACGCGGCCCCGCCGCCCTCACCTTCGCGGCCCCGCCGCCCTCACTTCGCGGCCCCGCCGCCCTCACCTACGCGGCCTCGCCGCCCTTGCCTTCGCGGCCTCGCCGCCCTCACGTCGCGGCCTCGCCGCCCTTGCCTACGCGGCCCCGCCGCCCTCACTTCGCGGCCCCGCCGCCCTCACCTACGCGGCCTCGCCGCCCTTGTCTTCGCGGCCTCGCCGCCCTCACCTACGCGGCCCCGCCGCCCCACTTCGCGGCCCAGCCACCTATCCTCACCGGCCCCGCCGCCTATCCTCACCGGCCCCGCCGCCTACGACCGCCGAGCCGCCCTGCCGCCGAGCCGCCCAGCAGCCGAGCCGCCCGGGAGCCGAGCCGCCCTGCTGCCGAGCCGCCCTGCCGCCGAGTCGCCAGGGAGCCGAGCCGCCGAGCCGCCCTGCCGCCGAGCCGCCCTGCCGCCGAGCCGCCCGGGAGCCGAGCCGCCCAGCAGCCGAGCCGCCGAGCCGCCCAGCCGTCGGGCCGCCCTACTGCCGAGCCGCCCGACCTACCCTGCCTGGTGAGCACAGCACCACTGTTACTGCGTGCCCCTCCCCTACTGCTTGCACTGCTACACTGTCGTCGTCATGGCTACCCCTAGTGTCCTCGCTTTTGACGCTGAGGGTCGAGCCATTGACTTTGAGGTCTGGGTCGACGACCTGCAGCTGTTCTTACAGTGCGATAGGACGGACGGTCTTTCCCTCTTTGACCTCACCTCTGGCGCCTCCCCTGCCCCTGCTGCTGATGCTGACCCCACTGTTCGCTCTCAGTGGGCCACCCGCGATGCTGCTGCACGTCTTGCTGTGCGTCGCCACCTGCCTACCACTGAGCGCGCGCACTTTAGTCAGTACAAGAGTGCTCAGACCTTGTACGACGCTGTAGTTGCGCGCTACTCTTCCCCTGCCACTGCTGCCCTGAGCCGCCTCATGCTACCGTACATCTTTCCTGACCTTGCTGCCTTTCCCACTGTCGCTGACCTCATTACTCACCTCCGCACTAGTGACACTCGCTACCGCGCCGCCCTTCCTGCTGAGTTCTGCGCCAAGAACCCCCCCCCCATGTACATCACTCTCTATTACATAGTCACACGCCTCCCTGACTCCCTTCACGTAGTCAGGGACCACTTCCTCTCAGTCTGTCCCACCACTCTCACTGTCGATCTCCTCGAGAAGTCCCTCCTGGCGGCGGAGAAGAGCATCGTCGCTGTAGGAGCCTCTCGTGGTGACCCTCGCACCCCCATCTTTGAGGGGTGTTCTCCTTCCCCCCTGCTGCCCTCTGTTGCCTCTGCTGCTGCTGCCGACCTGCTTGGTCTTGAGTCGGTCTGCGCGGCGTCTGCCCCTAGCGGGAGACGCCGCCCTGGCAGGGGCAAGGGGGGCAAGGGCGCGGGTGGAACTGGAGGGGGCGGTGGAGGTGGCGGTGGAGGCGGCGGAGGGAGTGGGAGTGGCGGTGGCGGTGGTGGCGGGGGCGGTGGTGGCGGTGGCAGCAGCGGAGGAGGAGGCGGTGGTGGTGGCAGCGGTGGGAGCGGAGGCAGCGGTGGTGGTGGAGGTGGAGGCGGCGGTGGCGGAGGGGGTGGAGCTGGTCGGGGTGGTGCCCCGCAGCGTAGCGGCTCTGGTGGTGGCCAGCGTCAGCAGCAGCAGCAGCAGCAGCGTTCGCGGGACATCCCCCCGCCCCAGCAGCTCCGTGAGTGGTACACGCAGCGTCAGCGGGGTGGGGGTTTTGGTCCGTGCACCTACGTCCTTCGTTCCGGCGACCGCGCGGGTGAGCAGTGTGGGGGTGCCCACCCCACCCAGCGCTGCTTTGGCCGCCTGACGGACGCTTGGCGTCAGCAGTTCCCCGAGGCTAGTGAGATTCCCCGTTGGGGAGAGCTGTCTAGGGCTGGCGTAGCTATCTTTGATCTTGACTTTGATGCTATCCTTGCTGCCATGTATGCTGTGACTATTAGTGAGGAGGGTGACTGTTACCGGTGTTTCCCCCCCGACCCGGGCATTGGTACTGCTGCGCTAGGTACTTCTGCGGCTGCTGCTCTAGGTGCCAGTGCGTCTGCACTCTCAGGTACTGGTGAGGCTGCGCTCTCAGGTACTGCGTCGGCTTCGGCCTCCCTCACCTTCACGCTTGACTCAGGGGCCTCTCGCTCCTTCTTTCGAGACCGCACCACACTCACGCCGCTTGGCCGGCCGGTTGCAGTCTCCCTGGCTGACCCCTCTGGGGGTCCTGTCCTCTCTCACTTCTCCACTGTCCTC